TAAGTCACAACCTGGAAATAAAACTGAGGCTATGTGATCAGATACACTCCATGAGATAAAAACGCATCTCTACCATTTGGCCCAGAAATCCCACTCTTGGAAATGTATGCTGATGAAATAGTTGAAAAGAGAAGACCACTATAATGCTATGAACTTGTATCAATGTCCAAAGATGGAACTTCAGAAGCAAATCTTCAAGATGGATCCTTTTTTAAAAATTACTTAATGTAGCCCAAGGAAATATTAAGAACAATGGGTTAGGAAAAGGGTCATGGCATTAAGTGTAGCAAAAGTCAGCATTCACCGGACAAAGGAGATGAGAATTTAGACATGACAAGGGTTTTGTGTGTTTTCCGGAAGAGAGCTGCATTTCCATTTTATCTGACAGAGATGAATGAGTGACAATCCCATCCCTCTGGGAACTTGCAGATGTGACAGATTATGCTAAAACTGGGAACAGGCTCAGGGTCAGGTGAATGGGGCTCTGTGGTAGTGAGGATGGCATTTTGTATGGGGGAGGGGGTGAGGAGGATGGTGACGGTTGGGACCATGTTCACAGTTGTCCTGTCCACATTCAACTAGAAGCGCAAGTCCCCACATGGCGTACTTGGGGGGGCATACTGTCAAGTGTCTGATGGAGAGGATTTCTCTAGCCCTGACCTGAATCTGAGCTATAAATACTGGCCATTAATGCTTTTCATGGCTGCAGCGGTAATTATAACAATATGAAAAATGCATTCCCCTGCCAGAAGATGAAGATGATGAAGACGAAGAAGGAGAAGAAGGAGAGGGAGAAGGAGAAGAGGTAACAGAAGTGGAAGAGGTGGAAAATGTTCGAACAGAGTCATCGGGAGAAGACGAAAGTCCGGAGAAAGGCTCGGAGCCCTCTCCACGGGCCTCCGAGCTCCAGACTGCCCCAGAGGCACCTCCGGCTTCCTCTCCAGAGTCACCTCCAGCCCAGCCACCAGCTGCGGATGCTCCGGTGACACAGGTAACCGGTCCTGAGTTTCTTCTTATAGGACACACAGGCGTGCCTCCTTGCTGAAAAGCCTGAGCAATTTATTCTGTCTCAGGGAAAGGAAAACTCTGTGCCAGATATTTGTTTGTGGAAGACAGAGGTTTCAGGGCAATCACAATGTCAGGGAGAAAAGTCCTCCAGGTGATTCAGCAGGTTCTTTGCTGTTACAACTGGTTGATATGACTTAGTTTAACACAATTTTCCCACCAGTGACACCCTCACAGTCTGAGGCAACCTTTGGAAATTATGTATGTGTGTGCGTGTGTGTTTAATATGTTAGTTCATAGACAGCTGGTATCATGAGGATTGGCTACCTCTGAATACAGATAGAGGCCACAGGTTGAGAAATAAAAATAATTATACTTTCAGAACTTAGAATTTTCTGTAGATAATAAAGAAACTAAATAGAGAAACCATGCTAGGTTGTGTCCCTGTTGCTTACCCTGAAATATAACTGTCTTTTTTCTAGTGGGCAAACAAATGAAACCTGGTTTTCTATGTGTCTGTCGTTTGATGAGATGATGTGTTGACAGAATTCTTTTAAAAAAATTTCTTAGGAAATTTACTCATCCTAGATACTGTGCCTGATTGGCTGATTTTACATTTCTAAGATGTCACTGTCCAGTTTTCAAGCCTCTGTACTGACTGCATGACACCTTCAGGAGACAGGTCCCACCCAACCTGTTGAGTTTGTAGGCAATGAAGACTCATTACAAAAAAAGGACCCCTTGTTTCAAAGTGGATTGGAATTATTTATACAAACAAAACCTCAGAGGGGGATCTTAGAGATAGAATTATATCTTATGCTCTGTCTCCATAGGAAACCAGGCTAAAATACTATTTATAGTTCCTAGAATCTTGCAATTCTGAGTATACCAATCGCACTGAAATTGAAAGAGGTCTGGTAACTAAATGAGAGTTAGGTTTGATCAGATCAATTTGGAGTTTTAGAAAAGAGGTTTTGTGGGCCCATATGTAATGTCCAAAAATTAATGCTGGTCAATAGTTTGCCCTTTCTCCCACATCTGATATTTTATAAGCAACCTTGATTTTCAGCTTCTGCTGCCTGCCTACCCAGGCTACCATTTACAGCAAGACAAGCCCAGCAAAGAGGAGGGGGCGTGTGCAGATGCCAAGACAGCGGGGCGCTGTCTGCGTTCCTGCCCTTAGTGCTTGTGGAGGGTGGGGTGAACTGAGACACAAGCTAAATCAGGCACTGCACAGGGAGCTATCAGTTTTCAAACCCAAAGGGAACTAAAATCAACTGCTTTTTTTTTCCCTTCTTCTTCTTCTTCTTTTTTTTTTAACTTTTGGATTTATCTGTCCTGTTAAGGGGGAGGTTGTGCCCACTGGCTCTCAGCAGACCACAGAGTCTGAAACTCCAGTCCCTGCAGCAACGGACACTGCGGATCCCTTGCTTTACCCTAGTTGGTATAAAGGCCAAACCCGGAAAGCCACCAGCAACCCATCTTCCACCCCAGGGAGCGAAGGTCTGGGGCACGTAGGGCCTGCAGGTTCTGAGGACTCGAATGTGCAGAAGGCAGAAGTGGCAGAAGCCGCAGCCAGTGAGAGGGCAGCAGTGAGTGGTAAGGAAACTAGTTCACCTGCAGCTACTTCTCAGGTTAGTGTTGATGCTCTGGTGTCGGAATGCTTCCCTGTGCTGCCCAGGGTCCCGCTGGAATGACCCCGAGAAGGAAGGGCTTCCCAAGGGGCAGACAGAACCTGGGGCCTTGGGATAAATAGAAATAACTCATCCCCCAATGTTGGCTTGTTTCTTAAGCCGCGCATAAAACAAAAGAAACACAAATTTGACTTCACTCTGCCCTGTGTGGCGTGGTGACCTCACACCTGGCTTCCCAGGGAAGGGCTGCAAGCTGGCCCTTCGCATGCAGTTGAAGCTTTGTCTGCAGTGACTGGCTGGTGTCCCTGGTTCCCCTCTGCAAAGGCCACTTGCCCTTGCTTAGTCTTTTCTGTGTCCCCCTTGGGCTTCCAAAGACTAATCACCTGCTTTTGCCAACATCCCCTAAGGAACACATTTGAATCGAGTTCTATGTCCGCTCAGGACAATAACCTCTGATTTATGGATTCTGGGAGTGTGCCTGCGACGGCTGGACAAAGTATTGACGTAATTAAACCAGTGCTTCCTAAGCATGTGCTCCTGGGAGCAGAAAAGCGCAGGTTTTCCTCCACTGCATTTTTTTAAAGGGTCATTTAATATCTGTGCTTTTCTTTTTTCTTTTTATAATGCAAGTTTGGAGTCCATGTCTTCTTCATAACACTGGGTTAGATGTTTGCATGGCTCAAAGACTCCATAGAAGAAATCTTCTATAATTTCTTCACAAGGAAGAATGTTCATGGCTGTCCATACCCATGAGTATTCTTAAATGACGTGTGGGTGTTTGTGTTGCCCAGACGTGGGGCTGTCAAAGAAATAGTCTTGAGTTCTGTGCTCCTGGGTCATCAGGTGATTATGAGCCACGAACAGCATTATTTCAAAAATCATAAAATCACTTACTATCTTGACTGTATTTGCTCAAGTGAACCTCAATTTCCATGAGGTAATACATGGAAATGATTTTTGGAAAATTAAAAGATGAACATGTTTTGGGCCATATATTTATTTTCACAGATGAAAAAGAACAAAAAAAGTGTTTGGTGTGAGGAAAACTTTAGAGGTTGTTTTTAGGTTAAAAAAACAGAGTAGAAAGTTTTCTAGGAAATTGAGGGGCACTATTTCTAGAAAGTTCATGGGATTCCTTATATATTTAGTGGAAGGTGAGTCAGGGGAGCTGTTTTCTGAAACAGTAGTGCAGTACCTCATAAGAGGAGCTTCAAACGAAAATGAAAAATCCACCCAAATGATGTTGAAAAATATGATTTGTGATAATATCAGTGAAGCTTTCTTCTTGTTTTCTCGCAGGAGTTAGCAATCTGCCTAGCACTCGTGGCTTTTCTTATCCTTCACTACATCTGGCGTCAGATTCAGTGCTTGGTTTTTGCTCTAATGGGTAGGACATATTTTCTTTACCCTTGACTAACATCTCATGCAGCTCTTCCATCATGTTCCTCTTCTGTAGGCCCAGAGGTGAATTTCTCCCCAACTCTGAGGCTCAGCCACCTTAAAAGCACCAAGTTCCTAGACAATACTTATGGCCTCAAGGCGCCTTCCCAAGG